TTGTTAAAAAAAATGATTGCTTATTTTGATTTCTTAATTTATAAAATACAAATTGCTAATAAGAAGTGATACTTAAACATTAATCTTCTACGCAGTACTGTTGCAGAGAAAATTTATAATTATTCTGATAATTGAATATGTGAGTAATTTTCTAATTTCGACATAGCAAGGTTTTGGAAAGAAACTCTTAGACATAGGAATTTAAACTAACACTAGTTAAATATATAATGCCAAGAGAAAAATATTTTTTTGACATTAAGGTTTTCGAGATAACGAAAGTATCCTGCAATATGAAATGTGGTGCTTAAAATGCATTATTTTAACTTTTTTGATGAGCAACATTTCCAGCAAAAGATGAGAATCACACACCCTGCATCATGCGTAATACCTGTGTCATTACAAGAGTGAGGAATGTTATCGGAAAAGGGCGTGTTTTTAAAATATTTTTGTCACTGGATTTATCATATTGTCTCTTTTCCTCATCTTAAACCACACCCTTGATTCTGGTAGCCCATCACTTTTCAACCATTTTATTCCCTTCAATTTTAATACGGAAATATTAAAATTGAAGGGAATAAAATGGTACTTTAGTGCGGAATAATAACCTTTTCTAAATAAAAACTTTTAAAAAATCTCGCAATTTAAGAGTACAGCAAACAATTTATTTTTTCACAATTTATGACATGTATAGATGCTATTTATTTTTTTATGAATTATTCATATTTAAAATAATTAAACTGAAAGGAATTTCTTTTTATTTCGTACAAAAGAGAATTTAAAGGGATTTTAGTTAATACAATTATTTAATGACATCTAATTCAAAATATCTCAAGCACAATAATTTTTTTAATAAAATTTTTATATAATAATAAATCTTTTATAATTATAAATAAATTCTTAAAAAATGTTACATGTAATGTTGAGGCCGAGATAGCCTGGTTGGCAGGGCGCTGGACTCGCATTCGTGAGAACGGGAGTCCAGCGCCTCCGGCAAAAGACTCTCCGTCTAGTAAATGGTGACAGGTGCGCGTTAAATCTGTCGGGTCACAGGGTCCTCCACTCCCGTAATAAATTATACCTCTTGAGGCACTGAATTGGAGCTTGATTGTTCTCTGGTTCTGGTAAAAATTACGATCTGTGGATGAATGAATGGATGTATGAATGAGTTCGCCCTATAAACGGATGTGACGTAAGGTTGTGACAGAAGTCGAATTCTTAGCAATAGAGGGCGCCACTAGAAAACAAGAACAATCGCACCCCTTGCCTTAAAGGCCTATTACAACAACAACCAATTGGGAATTTTCCTTGGAAAAAAGAAATTTTTTGTTAAAAAAAATGTAAAGTTTTTATAGTTTTTTTCCCTTGTGTGTGAACTTATTTTTTTGAATTTATTTCAGTTAGTTTGATTTCACAATTCCCAATTTAAAATATAAATTTTTGAAAGAAATCAGCTTATTTTTTTAAAAAAAATATAAAATACACTCCATTTTAAATAACGAGAATAATTAACTTTTTACTTTTTTAACTTTTATTTTAACTTTTTACTACTTGTAACAAAAGTAAAATTATGCCCCTGTAGGTTCTCACACCAAATATTTAAACTAACTTAATATCGATAATGATGTGACTACGTGGGAAAATTCATCGTTCCTATTTCAAAAAAAAAAAATAATAATTCTTATTTTTTTACTCATGTTTATTAAGCATGTGAAATATAGCGTGCTATTTTTGAAACAAATTCACAATAAAAGAAGGAAAAAAGAGGGGAATTGTAATTTACTTGCTGTTGCCATTTTAGGAATAATTCCAAAAATAAAGTTTGTCTACAGTAACAACTCCCCAGGCTACTAAGTCTGAGGCCGTCTGCTGCTATGGAAACAAGAATAGCGCATTTCAGGCGAGTAGCTTTTCTTCACACTAGAACTAAAACAATAGACAGAAGAAAAAGATTCCCTTTCTCTCGTCGACCAGAGCCAAAATCTGTCCTAAGCAGTGACCCCACACCCCTACTTGAAATAGTTATACCTTGTTACCATAGTCACCGCCACAGGTCTTGACGAATGGCTAGGGAAGTTCTTAAGACAAACTATATTGTTGCTATACAACATTTCTTTTTCAATTCAAATTTCGTGTTTTGATAATTATTTTATAACATCATCACGAAAGTGAAACATTATACACGAAGATTTTGGTTAAACAACTACACTAAAAGAGAGTTTTGTGAATGATTTAAATTGCATTTCTTGAACTGCCGCATTTGATAATTGATACTGGCTATTCGGAACAGTTATTTTATTTGGTTATAGGCAAATGGACAACCGATCCATAAAGTGGATATGTTAACGGGAATGTCCGAAATCAAGAGAATGTCGACTTTCACAGCTGAATGTCGACAATCACATAGTCGCTTTGGTGATTGGATTGGATTATTAATTTATTCGTTGATATTATTATATTTATTCGATATTTTAATATCTGCAGAGGATAGATTAGAAGAAACATTAGTGTTCGGAGTACCGGTTAAATGCATACTGGTCAGTGGCACTTGACCTTAAACAAAAAACATTGATGTAGGTCATACCGGGCAGTGGCCCTTAACTAGATCTAGTATGTATTTCGGACATTTACCAAAGCGATTATGTGATTGTCAACATTCACCGGTGGAGGTCATTAACCGCCAATTTTTGGTCAATCCCAGTAACAAATATATGCGGATGTTAATGCGAAACTCTATAGACATACGTTATTTTTTACCCAAATTCTAAGAAACGAGGATCGAAGTAATCAGATAAACTAGTTCTGCAAACTATTTGGAACAGTTACAATGTAGCTGTTACATTCCAAGATTGGAACACATGGTATGAGTATAATTATAATCCTAAATTTGAAGTTGAGGATCGAAGTAATCAGATAAACTAGTTTTGCAAACTATTTGGAACAGTTACAATGTAGCTGTTACGTTCCAAGACTGGAACACACGGTATGAGTATAATTATAGTCCTAAATTTGAAGTTGAGGATTGAAATAATCAGATAAACTAGTTCTGCACACCATTTGGAACAGTTACAATATAGCTGTTACGTTCCAAGCCTGGAACACATGGTATGAGTATAATTATAATCCTAAATTCGAAGTTGAATTTCTAAATAAACGCGCAAGATAATTTTACTTTCAAAAACGTAAAAACAACACAATGAAGTTTATATTTTGCAATTTCATACGAGTATGTCATGTTTTATTCTTCAAAAATATGGCGAGCAAAGAAAATTCTTACCTAGAAACTGTTCAAAAAATATTTCGAGATACGATAACATACATTGATCATGTGATTTTAAATGAACTTTTCCCTACTTCACAAATCGAATTCCCAAAAGCCGATTCTCCAGAAAATTGAATTCATTTTTTGAACAAAAAAGAAAGAAAAAAAACTGATGTAAATTTTCGAATAAATAAATGATACTTACTCGCAGAAGAAAATAAATGGGAGGGTGGGTGGTGAGGGAGTTTTTAAGTGAAACAACAAGAAGTAAACAAAAGCAGAAGACAGAATATCATAAATTACAGGCTTAGGGCATTTATCTCTCCGCCGCTTAAAATTCATTTCTATACTTTCTGTTTGTTTTTATTTTTTTTTCTTCTTAAGATCAATAAGAAGCCAAGAAGAGATTACTTTGGATATACAAGAGGGGGCTAACCATTTATAACAAAAAGAAATTTTAGATTGCAGTTAGTAACAGTGAATGCCCTGAATATCTCTTTGGTAATAGGAATATCGTCATTTCACGGTGTTTCATTATTAACAAATAAACCTGGAGATGTATTTTAAAGTTTTAAAATATGGAAACATTATAGTCGAACTTGTTTATAACAGATACTGATTTAACCGGAACCAGGACTTCCCAGAGAAATCGGCAATATTTAGTACGTGTGTATGAAAAAACATTTTTTTCATGAACTCGTTTCTCGCAAATAAATATTGCTGAGCCGCAAGGCTCAGGGAACAGAGAGTTCGCCTTCAAATGAGGTGAACCGGGTTCGAATCCCAGCGATGGCTAGTCGATACGAATTCCGCATCCGGCTCGCACCGACCATATCAGGTGTCTGTCTAGGTTTTTCTGAGAGGTACCTATTTTGTGAAAATTTAGACATAATTTGTCAAAACTTAAAAAATTATATGAAAAAATCAACACAGAAACATAGTAAAAATATAGATTTATCGTTTCTTAAAGATACAAAAATAAAATTTTAAGAAAAACTATTGTGTTAAATTACCGTTTTTCCTGAAGTTGAATTTGCGAAACTACCGTTTTTTCTAAAATTAAATTTGTGAAGGTACCGTTAAACTGTAGTAAATTCGGCCTGGACAGACCCCTGATAGTGCTGACAAAAAATATCCCAAGTGGTAGACGGATCATGGATTAGAGTCCCCTTGCCGTCAGGCTAAACATGGGAGGTTCTCGTGGTCTTCCTCTCTATGTCACGCAAGTGCGGGTTAGTTCCATCAAAAAAGTCTTCTACGAAGTCTAAGTTCTCCCAATACTTGATCCAGGAGTTCCCTTGTTTCCTGGAATGGGTTCAAAATTACAGGGATATGGAGTTGAACATTGGTGGCCGTAAACCCAAAATTGGGTCGGCTGTTCAACAACGGTTATAAAAACAAATATTGCGGTTCGTTATAAGAGAGTCCAAAACTAAATGGTGCCCAAATTTTTTTTTTTTGCAAACCTCATAACATATTATGGATGAAAGTCGCAATCCTGACTTGTTAAGAGACATTTAAAGCGTCTCCCTTAGAGTATGTTAGCATACTTTTTCGACACCCTGTGTGTACACAAGTGTTTAAAGCTAAAATAGTTTTTTTCCCTCAAAACCAATAAATACCATTTAAAAAAAATACTGTTTATACAGTTGCCTCGTGAAACATAAAAATGCATTATTTTGAAAATGACAAGCAATTTCAGAATTTTAGCAATAAATATATTAATGTTAAACATATTTACCATTTTTAATAACAAATCCTGTTTTAATTCTAGACATTCTTACCTAAAAGAAAATAGGAATATTATAATTAAAAATAGTCTAAAACAGAATGTTCATGCAGAAATATACATCAAAATGACAAGCAATATTAAATTTCTTCATTTTGTAATGCTTTTTCAAATTGTTGAATATGTTTCTCTATAATCAAAAATCGTAATCTATTTTAGGTTGTTGCTTTTTGTTACATTTTGCTGCGAAGACACTATAATATTTAAAAACGTGAAATTAAGAAGGTGTATCAAAACTATCCAGGCAGTTCAACGGAAGAAACTTTTTCAACATTCAATAATATTAAACTTGTAGTAAAAAAATACAACGTGAGCCGCTCTGAAACTCGAAAAAAAATGCCGCTACAGAGTTGACAGGCTGAAAAAACCATCTTTATTTGGGGGTGAACTGCTTTCTTCAAAATTTCAATTAAGTTATTTCTCACTTTTACTCAAAACAATAACATTCTTCGTAAGCAAAAGAGGGAGAAATCTCCCATATATATATATATATATATATATATATATATATATATATATATATATATATATATATNTTATATATGGGTCATTCTCACAAAAACAGTCATTTTCATGTCCCCAGTATATTTTATGTTTGTTTTACAGCTTACAAAAAAAAATTCAGGGAAAGTGTCCTTCGGAATGCAAGCTAACAAAAGAATAAGAATAAAATTATCAATTTTTATTTTTTATTTATTTTAGGTAATTAAAATATACATCATGACATCATGATTTTTCATTCTTTATTTTAACTAATTCACTTAATTTTTAAAGAAAAAAAGAACGAATGCTTTTATCAATAAATTAGATTTTTAAAAAAAATACTTAATAAAAAAATAATTATTTTACACAAAAGTATATTTGTGTGCGCGCAATTCCTAAAAATGCACATCAAGTGTGTTCAGAATTCTAACTTTAGTATTGTATAGGCTGCTTTAAAAAAAAAAAATGCATGTTCAAGGATTTAAAATTCCGTAATTTTTTGGTCAGAGATTTGCTATTGTTATTTTTTTTAATAAATCGCAGAGTGTGTATTTTTCTTCTTTTAACTTGAAATATATAAATGCCATCTGAAAATTCTAATGCATGCATCTATCTCTGAAATGTTCTTAAATCATAGTGCTAAAAAAATTAAAAGCTCTGAAATTAATTTAAAAGATTTTTAGGGTGTGGCACACATTAATTGCCAAAACTGTCGGAGAAAATAATTGGATTCCAGAAAGTCTTCACTATTCAACGGTATTTTTCAAAGACAAGACTCAATTAAAATAAGCAAGTATTTATACTTTCTCAACAATACAATTCTTCAATCAGTAATTTAGAGAGGAAAGTTAATGTTACCTGCATTTTAAAAATATCCAGCTTTATCGAGATTGTATTTCGTCAACTTAAGAGAGGGGAAAAATTTCAGTCTGTTTTTGAAATTTGTATTAAATAAATTTAGATCATAAAAGAAAATAATAACAAAAAAATGTGACCGCCGAAAAGCAAAGCCCCATTGGCAAAATGGTTGCTGTCTAATTTTTTTTACACTCTTTATTTACGATATTCACCTGAATTAGTATTGAAAACGATCCAGCTTGAACTGTAGGTTAGAATTCCTAATTAAAACAATAAAAACAAAAATATCGTTCAAATGATGAAATTCTCTTTTATTCACAGCATAACAAGTGTTTATGGGATCTCTATGGTCCCATATCTCAAAATTAATCTCACCAACTTAATGCATAACGAAATTAAAAGTGAAAAAAGAATTTTAATAAAAATTATCAAACAGCAGCGGTTGCCATAGCCGCATGCAATGAAGACGAGTGCGCATTGTTTACTATTACTCTTGAACACAGTTGAAAAGTGTGATGACGTCAAAATAAAGTGCGCACGCCATCAAACCCAAAACAGTACTCATTTTGCCAATGGGTTGGCAAAACTAAGAAAAAGAAAACTATTAACTCATCAATTCAACTATCATTTAAGATTTTTGTTGTATCACTGCCCTAAGCCGGGCGAGCGTTGGTATTTTGTTGCGCATCGAAGAAAACGTATCGCCATTTTTATGTGGTTTAACAATGGAGTGGGAATTTTTTATATATTTCTCTGCGCATTCCACTAATAAAAAACACTCTATGGTGTTTAGAGAAAAAAATTTAGTATTTAAAGAAAAACTGTGTGCCATTGCTAGGCAACAGAAATAAATTGTGTACTCATCATATTGTCAGTGGGTAAAAATCAAAATAAATTCTAAAAAATTTAAGCACCAAAAAAAATTCTAAGTACTAAAAATTGGAAAATACAGACAGCTCCACTTAGTTGCTTTCAGTTTTTGAGGGGAAAAAAACCATATAAATTCTAAAAAAAATCGAGCGTTATTTCTTATTGCGTTTGAAAAATAAAGATTGATAACAATTTTTCTATTAGCATCTTGAAAATTTACTTTCAAACTAGTTAAGTTAGGTTAGTGAAAATATAATAACGCATCTATGCACTATCATTATGGTCAATCTAAAATAGTTCTGTATTTCTCTGCTACTACTTTTTAACCATTTGGATCAAAATTTTAGAACATAACATTGCACAAATAAAGAAATGTGGTTGACAGATTTGTATTTTTTATATTTTTAAAACTTATTTTATGTTTAAGGTTTAAATTCGAAAACGAAACTAGCGAAAAAGGCTTGCTTCCGGTTTTAATTTTATACTTCCGGTTGCTCAAAATCAAAATCGAAGTTTTTTTTTTTTTTTTTTTAAATCATCATAACTTCTGATCTATTTCACGTAGAAGCAAAGCTCGTGCAGAGCGCCATCTGTTGAGTTTTTGAAACTATTATTATTAACATTGAGAAATGTTATTAACACCCTTCTAGGGGTCATTCAAATATGACGTAATTTCTGGTTTGCTTATTTTTGATGACAAAAAGAAGGGGTATGAACAATGGTTATGTAAGATATTAAAATCCCGTTAACTTTAAAATATTCTTAATAAGCAAAATAAAAATGTAACAAAGAAAATTTCCCGCATGCAGATTTCAAATCTGGAATAAAAATTGAATTGAGGGAAGTGTAAAAAAAAAATTTTCGAAGCACTTTGAACACAAAGAATATTTCGCTCAACATTTTTAAAAGGAATTCAATCGTAAATTTTGTTGCATCTTTTACTTCAATAGAGATTTTTACGGTCAAAATTAAAGGGAAAAAAATAGGGGGGGGGGGGTACAGGTTTGCTTTCGTAAGCAAGGGAAGTGGTATGTGATGTACTTCTTTTCGCTGACAAGTGGGGAGGGCCAGTTCAAAATTACTGAAAATATGCTTACGTAATACTTAAACGACCCCTTACTAAAAATGACCAATGATAATCCATGATCAAAAAATAGTTAAAAATTAAAAAAAAATGAAGAAAAACACCAGAAACGTGAATAGACTAAATTCTAGATTTAACTAGTTGATTCATCGGCACTTTTTTTATTAAAAAAAAAAATCTAGAAAACGTGGTATTCAGCCCTATGGAAACAAAAAGAATTCTAAGAACAGTGGCAGATAGAATTCGAAACATTAGCTCAATAAAATGTCGTTCAATTGGATGTAAATATTTCTGATTGGCAAGTTTTCGTTACTTCCATCACCAGGTAAGAATGCACTTTAAGAAAAGAAGAAAAAAAACCTCTGAAGAGAAAAAAAATTAAGATAAAAAGTAAATAAATAAAAGAATATTATTCCTTTGGAATGTTTTTGTGAGCATCTCTCGAACTTTTTGGAGTGGCCGAATCATTAGCATCCTTTGTCGTTAAACTTAGAGCATCAGACTAAGAGATGTGGAGAGGGGGGGGGGCAAAGTGGAAGAGGACTGTTATCGATTTTTTCGTTTCGATTCATGACCGCGTGAGCTACTACTATCCTTTATTCTTACTAGAATCATTGCAAAAATATGCGTTGAAGGAGAAAAGTTATTTTATGTATAATTCCATTAAAAAAAAATAGCTTATAGTAAACATTTATTACTTTATTTAATAAAGGTTCAAAAAAATTGAAAGGTATACAAATTTTTTAATCATTTTAAAGAACTCAATTTTACATAGCAAAATACAAAATTTAAACATAATCGGCTGAATATTTCCTGAGAATTTTTTTAAATATCTGAGTTTTTTGAAATTTATTTTCTGAGGAGCTGCTCCACTGATTTTGCTCAAATTTTGTATTTTATCATGTAACATTATATCCTAATTCATCAACATTATATTCTAAGCATTATATTCATTTAAATATCTGACTTTTATGAAATTTAATTTCTAAGGAACTACTTTTTCGGAGGAACTTTTGATGTTTAAACTTATATTTCACACCGTTAACTTTAAGGAATCTGCTCTTTAAAAAAAAAAAAGATGCCGCAAAAATTTACTTTTATTAAAATTATTTTTCAACTTAAGCACAATTTACGAGGTATTATTATAGCATAATTTGTTATCAGGAAAATGCTTTATTTTGTTAAACAGCAAATACTAAAAACTGAAATTTGTAGAAAGATTTCAAAGCCGTGCCAATTTTAGAATCATCTTATTTGAAAAATGTAAGAAAAAATACGCAATTTTCGAACTTATATTTGATTTAAAAAGAAAAATACGCAGCGAGAAGGTTTTACTTTTTACAGAAACCACGATTACTAATTTATCCTACATTTCGTCATAAGAGGATAAGAATGATATTGCCCCAACGAAACTACTCAATAGTTTCGCTATTTCCTGAATGGAAATCTGCTCGGACGAAACATATTATTCCTTGAAAACTAAAGCGAGAAACAATTTAACTATTATAAAATTCCATTAATTTGTTGGCAGTGGTATTAAGGTTAAGGATATGCGATGGACAATCCGTTTACTATTATGCTACAAATACATTTCATAAAGATGGAATAATTTATTTAATATAAGGATGTAAATGGAAGTAAATAAGGGTGTAAAAATAAACTCTATCGAAGTACGCCTAAAATATACACTAAAATATATC